GTTATGAGATGCCCCTGAACTAATATAAATAGGTAGATGTGGGGAAGAGTTATTTTGAGGGCCATAATTTGATTTAGTTATCTCAGGCGATCAATGATTGTTTAACACCAGAAATAGTTGACTAGAACAGCTGCTAAAACAATGCTTTGTGTGGGAAATGATAAAAGGTTCAGTATTTTGACAGCCATTTTGGAGGTATGAATAATACGACTTCTAAGAAAATCCTGATTGCTGGGTTGGTTTGGGGGGATTTTGAGTGTGTGTGTGGGGGGGGTTGGATTCTCTAGATAAGATTTCCCATCTCCTAGTATTCTGCATGGATAGTGGGTATAGGAGGAATGTTTTCCCTCTCCCAGAGTCTTGACTCTATATCAGTAGGGTTTAGGCAGCACAGCAATAAATTACTGTTTAGGTTTTTTAAAAATACCTAACTCATCCATTCATCAAATGTGTATTCAGGGCTTACTGTGCTTCAAGCAAAGTTCAGGACCTAGGAGTCAGAAAGAGTCTGTTAGATTCCGCCGTAAGGGGCTCCGTCTGGAAAGAGGAGGAAAAGTAGAACAAGGCAAAATGTGCAAGTAATTTTAAATAAATTCAATAGGTACTACAGAAACAGAACTTGGAGGGGGATGAGGGATAGAAAGAGGTGGCGTTAAATAATTGGGAGTTTGTCATTTGAGGTGGTGGGAGGTAAGGATTGACAGACAAGCACAACATTCCAAATAGACGGCAAATTCTAGTCAGTGTTACAAAGTGACAGAGTGGAAGTGTGTATTTATTGATTCAACTCTTAATGTGGAAGAGTGTATTTATTGATTCAACTGGCCAACTGCATGCCTCAGTTCACAGTATTGCTTTCTGTCTGGATATCCAGTACCTTAAATTTTCACAGAATTTTCACGGCAGTTTTCTGATTGTATATGTGCCTAATGTGAGTATTACCATATTATACTGTCTGGAGTTAACTTTTAAAATATTTCAGCATGGGGCCCCTGGCTAGCTCAGTCAGAAGAGCATATGACTCTTGATCTTGGGGTCATGAGTTCGAGCCCCACAGGGGGTGTAGAGATTACTTAAATAAATAAAACTTTAAAAAATAAAATATTTCAGCATGAACCATATGGTAGGTATTAGTTTTCATCTAAGTCTTAGTGAAAGCTGGTGGTGCCAGTTGTTTTTTTTACATTTTTTTTTTAACATTTACTCATTTTTGAGAGAGATAGAGCACGAGCAGAAGAGGGGCAGAGAGAGAGGGAGACACAGAATCGGAAGCAGGCTCCAGGCTCTGAGCTGTCAGCACAGAGCCCGATGTGGGGCTTGAACTCACAGGCTGCGAGATCATGACCTGAGCTGAAGTTGGATGTTCGACCAACTGAGCCACCCAAATGCCCCTGGTGGGAGTTTGTCACAACTGGTTGGTGCCAGTTGTGAGTGCACACTCAGTGTTGGTGAGCTGGCATCTAATCAGAAGCCCTCACCCTAGAGAATCTTCTTTAAACAACTCAGTTTTCTTTATCTCTGAGTGACACTAGAGGTTTTGTTAATTAGAGTAATGGATATTGCAGATGAATTTTAATCGGGGATATTTGTGGTGGTGAAGATGAGTGGATCAGGTTGAACCTTTACAGAGACCTTCCTTCCTGTGTGTTACAGAATATAAAAGTCTAGTGAAACATTAAGGATGGGGAAACTGAGGCTCGGGGAGGCTGAGTGTGAGAGGTGGGTGATGGCAGGGCCAAGACTGAAGAATTCCAGAACCAGAACTGTCTCTGTTGGCTGCTCTGCTCAGTGAGGTATGCTTGCCCTCGGAAGAATCTTTATCTGTGATGACACTCTTTTAGGGGTTCATTAAATCAAGGCTAATCCTTGACTGAATTCCCTAACCCCAGACTGAAGTGTGTGTTCTTTAGAACCAACGTAGGTGACATTTCCAGTATTGGGGGAATTTCATTTCTTTTAGATTCAAGGAAAGTAAAGTATTACAAACACTCAGTTATGAGCGATGTATTTGTATTTCTAGGTCACATGGAAGGGAATCCAGTTTAGCTGGTGTTCTTTTCTGCTTTTCCTATTAATATACCCTTCCATCTGCAGATAATTGAAAAGTAATTAGAGCTCTTCGCAGTAAATCCATGTCATATTAAAGAAAACAAAAATGCAACACATGTATGGCATTATGTGGAAATTTACCCCGTGGAAAACTACAGGCTGTTGGGATTTTATTTTTAATGTATGTTATACAGTCCAGATCAAACAAATGAATTAATTTCCACTCTAGTGAAGGATTGTTTTTCCTGGTGTGTTTGGGTGGCTATGGTCACTGTGGTTTGGAGTGAGCCTAAACAGGTTCCTGTCCTTGGACAAAGACCAAGGACAACTATAGGACTTGCCTACGGTTAATCTCCCATAGGCCTCTTGACTAATAACCCTGGGGCAGGAAGGCAAGTGCTAGTATGATCACTTTACAACAGAGGCAGTCAAAACAATGAGAAGTTATGGCATGTTCACACCACGGAACTGGCTATAACAGAGTCAGGGTCAGAGCTAAGCTCTTCTGAACACTGGGTGACTGCACAGTGGCCCTGTCCATGACCCCAGGCTGCCAGAGCAGAAGGAAGTGAATTTCAGTGGTATGGTGCACATCAAAGTATTCGATATGGTCGGAACCGAACCTCAAGACATTAATAGAAGACGACACATCAAGACATACTGGTGGTGACGGTTTCAGAAGAACTTCTGGTTCAGATTCCGCAGAAGTTTATGCAAAGCCTGCTACGGGTCAGGTTCATGCTTCTGGGAGGCTACTTATTTTCAATAGTAGCAGAGCAAGGGAGCCTGGACCTTTAGCCTCCCCCTCTAAGCCTTGACCACCATCAGTGCTACTCCAAACCATTTTCAGTAAACATGCCATCTAAGGATAAGTCGAATTAAACAAAGGAATGTCTTGGCAAGTTCTAGACCAGGTTTCTTAAGCCCTTATTCTATTCTGCCTCTTGCCCCTAAATCCTATTATATTTTGTCTTATTACCAGAGCAATCTTGTAGTTGTGATATTGTCTCCATTGTATCATTGAGAAAATCAAGCCATTGAAAATAAAATGCCTTGCCTTAAGATGAAAACTAGTCAGAGTTTCTAGTTGATTCTTCTGAGTCCAAGTCCTGCTGTGTGCTGATTTCCATCTGACCTTGGAATAATTCTGGGCATTTACTTTATAGGGATATTTTGGAGTCATCTTGCCAAGTAAGGGATCTAGTTTATTTGACTTTGTGGAGTTTGTGTGTGTGTCCATGTTATTTTAGAATAGTGGAGAAGGGGCGCCTGGGTGGCGCAGTCGGTTGAGCGTCCGACTTCAGCCAGGTCACGATCTCGCGGTCCGGGAGTTCGAGCCCCGCGTCAGGCTCTGGGCTGATGGCTCAGAGCCTGGAGCCTGTTTCCGATTCTGTGTCTCCCTCTCTCTCTGCCCCTCCCCCGTTCATGCTCTGTCTCTCTCTGTCCCAAAAATAAATAAATGTTGAAAAAAAAATTTAAAAAAAAAAAAAAAAAAAAGAATAGTGGAGAAAACGTTTGGTGCCTAATCCCAGCTTAGGATAGATAAAAGAGGCACACTTTCCTGGAGGGGAGACTTGGAGGAATGGTGGTTTTAAGATAGACTTGCACTTCTAGCGAGAGAGAATGCACGCACACACACGCACATGCACACACACGCACGCACATGCACGCACGCGCTGCAATCCAAGGGTCTGGTGCTTGGGGCACCTGGTGGCTCAGTCAGTTGAGCTTCTGACTTCGGCTCAGGTCATAATCTCACGGTTCGTGAGTTCAAGCCTCAAATGAGGCTCTCTGTTGTCAGCACAGAGCCTGCTTCAGATCCTCTGTCCCCCTCACTCTCTGCCCCTCCCCTGCTCTCACATGCTCTCTCTCTTGCTCTCAAAAATAAATAACCTTAAAAAAGAGCTGGAGGCTTAACTGACTGAGCCACACAGGTTCCCCAAGGCGCTGCCTCTTCTTAAGTGAGCAGCAGCATATTGGGTATTTGCATTTCTCACAAATAAAAAGGTAAAATCATGTGTTGGCTATTCAGGCTTCCTGGACAGACTTGGATGATGTGGGCAAGTTTCCCCCAGGGCCCGGACAGATCAGTGGGGTTCCTGACCCACAGAATTCTACTGTATGTTACCAGGATGCCTTCCTGGCATTTTTTTGCCTTTCCAATCATTTTAATGTTTGATGTGACAAATGGCAAAGGACTCTGCCACTGCGATGGGAACTGAGATGAGAAAATGCTTGTTTCACAGCCCTTGTTCACTCCTAAACAAGTGTTAAGACTCTGGCCTTCTTTCCTCCTAGATTATAAATACCTTAAGGACTCTCTGTCTTATTATGTTTTGTGCCCACAGAGTTTGCTTTGAACGTAGTAGGTACTGATTTGATGGTTGCTGAGCTGAACTATACTTTTCCAATATGAAGAAAAGTGGGGCAGATTAAAATAATATGTAGGCCAGCCTGACACAGTAACTCAGATAGACATGACTAGTTCCTGGCCTTGGCAAGTTACTCAAATTAAGACTGGGTTTCTTAGGTGGAGAGAGGGAGAAAATAATGCACATTGGGTCTCATGTAGGTAGAGCAGAGACACCAACATGTAAATGCTTAATACCTTACTTATTTTTATTTTAAATAGGCATTTATGAATACCAGCTTATGCAGACTGAGCTACCAGCTTTGCTAGCCTTCACTTGCTTTTGAAACCAGCAGACTGCCTTCCAGCCTGTGCTGTTTCTCTTGGTGGTTGTTGGAACAAGTCACGTAGAGCCAGCATCAGAATGTTTAAGATGAAAATTTTGTCACGGCGGGGTGCGACAGGAGAGGGCTTGTCGAGAAGGGTTGTAGAGGAAGACCATTGGGAGGTCCAGCCGAAGGGGTGTGTTGACACTGCCTCTGGGAATTTGGGGAAGCCCTGGGGAAACCCTTAAGCATTTTTCTGCTTTCTCCACCCTCAGGCCTTCTCGTGGGTACCCTTGATGTCGTGCTGGACTCCAGTGCCCGGGTGGCTCCTTACCGAATCCTGTACCAGACTCCTGACTCTTTGGTCTATTGGACCATCGCCTGTGGTAAGTAGTGATATTCAGAAATACCGAGAAACCTTATGATTCATAACTTTCGGCCAGAGAGGAAGGAGCCTTTATTTGGGAATGCAGTCTCTTGGTATTTTAGGGTAATAACCATAGCCATTTTGGCAGATGAACCCCAAATCTCAATGGCTTAATGCAGGAGCGGTTTCTTTCTCACTCTGGTGAAGTCTTGTGTGGATCCTGTGGCCTCCTCCATTCGCAGTGACACAAAGCCTCCATAGGAGGACAACTTAGAAGGGGAAAGAGGGAGGTAGAGGCACACCTGCATTTAACTTCCTTGGCCCAGACGTGTCACACACCACCTCCACTCACACTCTGTTGGCTTGAACCAGTCACACGACTCCAACCTAACTCCATGGGCAGCTGGGAAATGAAGAGAAACACATGAAACACTTGAGTGTACTAAGTGATACACACATATCCTAGCACAGTGCTTCCTCCTTGGGTGGGGATCAATTCTTTTTCCTGATGATAGTCTGGAATAATGTCCTGTGTTTAAAATGGTGGTCAACAGCTCTGCCGTTGTTGGATCTCTCACAAGAATGTTTCATCCAAAGTGGCCAAGGTTTTATAGTTATTCGTTTGCCTGTGCCTTTACAAATAACCATAGGAAAAGCAAGGACACAGAACACTTTTCTTTTCATTTTTTACTGCCACTTGGTTTTTATTATTATTAATAATAAACTTTATATTTTATTTTTATTATTTTATTATTATTATTTTTTAATTTATATCCAAATTAGTTAGCATATCGTGCAACAATGATTTCAGGAGTAGATTCCTTAGTGCCCCTTACCCATTTAGCCCATCCCCCCTCCCAC